CCGAACCGTGGGGTCGCGGTTGCAGCGCAGGTTGCCAAAGGAATAACTGTTGGTGGCCTGCATTAACAAGTTTTTAGCCATCCAGTTTCCTGCAATGTTACCGTGCTCAAATATGGTGCCAATCTTTTTGGAAGTATGCATTCAGAGGCTACCAACATTGAGATCAAAGACTCAGAACAAATATGTGTTGATCACTCTGAACGGGCCCAATTAATTCGTTCGTTTATGGTGATAACCTCTGCTTGGTAAAAGCTATAAAATTCTTAACATTTCTGCCATCCTACGTCGGCCATTTTTTACCTCAGAAAAAGGAGAAAACAATGAATCTCTTAAACTTCTATTAGCCTATGTGTACCTATACTACATAAATATATGCATACTTTTGATTATTTTTTATGAGAGAATTAAAAAAAAAAAAACAAAACGCTCCACAGTGGACTTTACCAGAGACCTTAGATAGATAGAGAAGGTGCAAATTTTTGGAACGTAAAATTGTTTGGCTGAAAAATAAATCCATGGAATATCACCACAGCGCGATTAACATTTCAAGAAGAGTTAACAGAGAAAAATGTAAATTTCTGTTATGATAATGTTATATTTGTTGCAAGTGTCTGGCTATGTGTTGCTTGGTTGCAGGTGAATGCAGAAACGTATTCATGTATATTTTTTTAATAAAATTAAATAAATTAATATAGTTAAATTATATTAAATGTACTTTTATATTAGTTAAAATGGCTGACTTGCATTTCTGCATGACCATTTGTTAAATATAATTTACTCAGTAGTTAATGTTGCTAAAAACTTAAAAAGCATCTGTTCAAGTTCGCTTCTTGTACGAGTATTATGTTATGTAAATAGTAAAAATGCATGTTAGTTAAAAAAATGTTAAAATTGGTTTTTTCACATACTCACTTTAAAGATGGACGTATTAACAAAAAAAAAGTATAAGGCAATGTGTTTGTTAACTTCAAAGTTGTTTTTGACTTTTACTGCAATACTCGTAGATATTATTTGTAAATAGGTAATAGTTTTGGAGTAAAATGCAAATCCATTTCCCAGGCATGCGCATATGGATGCTTGTAGTACATACAGATGCGATCAACTAATTAGCAACGAAATTCAAAATGATATTGTTTACAAATTATGTTTATTTATTTATTTTTAATAATTTCCTTTAAAATATAATTCAATCTATAACAGAAACCACAATAATAATAGTTTAAAAGCACAATTTGCAAAATAATTAATCAAACTTCAAAAAATTGTTATAAAAATTTAAAAATTTTTAGTTAGAATATTTAGAAAATTTTCGGGTATGCAGCTTTGTAGTTTTAGTTAGAATATTTAGAAAATTTTCGGGTATGCAGCTTTGTAGTCCATTCAATCAAGTACACTAAAGTCCAAGTTTCTAGTCGTTAAAAATTACCGTTGATTTCTTAGGGCACCCTGAAATTGTGCATATGGAAACTGTGCATACGAAATAATGCATATGAAAAAAACCGAAATAATGCATACGAAAAAAACCGAAATAATGCATATATGCACAGTTGCGGTTGAAAACCGAAATAATGCATATGAAAAAAACCGAAATAATGCATATATGCACAGTTTCGGTTGAAAACCGCAATAATGCATATTAGAAAAACCGAAATTATGCATATGCACTCTTTC